ACAAACAAATTAAATCAAACAAATAAATTAAAAACAAACAAATTAAAGGGAAAAACAAACAATTGTTCCGGGCGACAAGCAAGGGGCGGCTCTCAGCTCTCCCATAGTAGAGTACCGAGTGCTCTAAATCATTAACCACTTCTTCTAAAGTGGTGTGCGGAGTTATGGCGCTATTGTTCTCGATTCGCCCTCATTAAGTGTGACGCCGCTTTCACATAGTAGAGTACCAAGTACTCTAAATCGTTTACCACTTCTAAACACAGCCGCGATGATGTGCTGTCCCCGAGTACCAAGTTTTACTTTGGGATATCTCGACGCGTTTGAGTTTATTGCACGTGAGGCCCAAGGGACGGCTTTCAGCTCACCCATAGTGAAGTACGGAGTACTCTAAATCGTTAACCAATTTTTTCTAAACACACACACTTTTGAATCTTTTACGGTGTTCTGTTGGATTGTAATTGATGCTCACTGTTCGTGAGAATAAATTTCTCTAAACACCCGCCACCACTGAGACAGCTTATTGCTCTCCCATAGTGGCGCACATCGTACTCTGAATCATGTAACATTTCTTCAAGACATGTGCTCCGTATAGTAGAGTACCAATATGCGAGTTTCATCTTTCGTTTTGTCGATTTGACTTCGACGGCTTTCTGCTCTCCCATTCTCCCTTAGTAGACTACGAAGTACTCTAAATCGTTAAACACTCTTTCTAAACATTGTCGAAATATTTCTAAAATTGTCGAACACATTTTATAAGCACGTCTTGTTTTTTTTAGGGGCGAAGCTCCTTAGGGCGTGGGCTGTGCGTCCCCTGTAGCCTGTATGTAGCCACCTCTAGTTTAGTTCTTGCAGTGTTCACTAGATGGCGGTACCGTCTCCTGTATGTAGCCACCTCTCGTTTAGTTCTTGTAGTGTTTACTAGATGGTGGTACTTGTAGCTGATGATGAACAGATGCAAGATGTTATAAACTAGAAAGCGGTACTTGTAGTTGATGAAAGACGCGAGATCTTATAAAATAGGAATGATGTCACATATGACGCGTGTCATTGGTTGAAGGCAATCGTTCGATTTAGTGCGGCGACGTACGCTAGGGAGAGCGATGTAATAAAATCGAGTGGGCAAAATGTACAGAGGATTCATGGTTTACAAGGTTTACCTCCGGAGCTTCGCCCACTCATCATCATTCACTTCGTGGATATGGCGGAATTTTTTTTTCTTTAGTTGTTTTAATAAGTGTAATGAAATCTCGGGGAGAAAATTCAGTGAAAAGTCCTTCTCGGTTGAATTATTTTTGAAGAAGGAAAAGATGTACCTTTTTTTCACAGTTGTACTTTTCACGTGGCACGCGGAAAGCGGCGCATCGAAAATTTGTGACGTCACGTAGCATCGTCGCTTCGTCATAGGCTTCGTCATAGGCTTCGTCATCGAGTGGGAGGCAAAGGCGTTGGCTTTTGCCTTTCAGTCGCCTTAGGCAAATGCGTTTGGGACGCTTGTTCTTCTTTTCTTGCGTACCCACTGTGGGGTACTGGCCAAGAATAGGGTGGTTCTATAGAGTAGTACGAAGCTTTAGAATAATGTAAGTTGTATAATATAAATATTACAGGTTACCTAGGAAATTACCGTGCTTGATCGAACGTACATATTTATTAGAAGAAACAAAAGATCATCCCTTTTTTCTCCCAAATAAGAGTCAATAAAGTGAAGCAATGCCCTTTTTATACGTATGTAAGGTTGTAGACACGTTAGGATAAAAAATACTGATTAGGTTGTCAACCGATTCATCATCCTGCGAGGCATTTTCTCTGTTTTTTATGTGTCAGCATTCTGGGCCAATATCCACCCCCTCTCCCCCTGTAATAACACTCTGCTTTAAAACGTGCCAATTGCCACATCATTTAATCTTTTTTTCTTTAGTTACTATCTGTAGCTCAGGGACGGCGCCGGGGGAAGGCACTGGTGCGGGAGGGGTGGCTACAGCCTCTCTGGGGTAGCCCCCCCCCCCTCCTAAATTTTTGTCTGCTCCATGTTGCACCCCCCCCCCCCCCCAAGAGGAAACATGGTCATGGTCATAACGCAAGGGCTAAGTTCCCCACCTCCCAACCCCCCCGAAGGCACTCACTTATCGTGTGTATACGCCGGTAAAACAATCCAGGTGCCCACCTCTGCTGTAGCTCCGTCTCATTTCGAGCGCGCATACGTAACCGAGCTACGCCGAACGCAATCGAACTTCCTTCCTTGTGATCAACGTTGTGGCGAGGAATCGTAAACGGAAGACTAAAGCGGGCATTGGTGCTCGCCTCCTCCAACTCGCTTTCGGTCGGAGACATAAAGCGCAAACAGTGCCCCCCTCTCGCGCACCGAGGCGGCCGCATTGTTTACCACCGGTCAGCCGCAACTGGCGACGCAGTGGCGGCCGATAACCGCCTCTACAACTCGCCCCACGCGACGGCGGCTATCCGTGCAAAGTCCGCCGCTTGTTTGCCCTGCGCGTGAGTGCGCAATCTCACGTAATCTCCGGCTCCCCGTTGCCCTCTGCGCCTTGTCTAAATGGGTGCAGCGGTGCGAATCGCAGAGTGGGAAAGTCTACGTTTGAATATATTTCTATTTTTTTATGTGAAAGCATTAGATGCATCATCAAACGCGAAAAAAAAAATGACCGTCAGTGTCACCACGATTGATGCAAAAAAGAAATCATCACTACCGTTTTGTGTGTGTCTCTTTTCATGGAATGACGTCACTGGTTGGCCAGCATTTGCGGCGTCGTCGTGACGTCACGTGATGACCGTCATGATGGCGCCACCTTTCGAGTCACCACTAGGTGTATGCGTAAGGGACCCCTGTGAACTTTTTTTGTATACCGTTAGCTACACTGGCCTCGCTGAGCCAATTTCGCGTGGCACTGGTCTGCGCATGCGCAATGATACTCCGCCACCGCTGGTGTGCGCGCAATTCGATGCGCTGCGCAGACGATCAGTGGTGTCGCGCACCGGAGCCGGCACCTCCCTCGCACACGGCCGCGGCCGCGCGCGACTCGCCGCCGCCGGTGTGCGCTTTCCAGAGGAGTGCCGTCATAGCCTTGGTAGACATATGGACGCGCGCGCCTTCCCTGTGCAGTCGCCATCTGACAATGCGCTGGAGCCGCTTGATAGCGCCTCTGACTGGCGTTTGCCACTGTGGTATAGCCATGGAGAAGGAGAGTGCAAATGCTGCTCAACGGTGCAGTAGAGCGGAGAAGCTTAACTCAGCGGATCCCGAAGTAGTTGCCCGGCAAAATAAATATGCGCGTGCCACATAATACGTATACCGTGTGTGTGTCATTAAAACAGCTGTAAGCATGATATCTGCAAAGCTAATAATAATCAGCTGAACCTTTGCTAACGCTACGTATATCCTGGCATAGCTGAGCTAATTAAGCCACTTCCATTTTTTTTCTTTATTGCGATAGCGTTGGCGCAAACACGCAAGCGAAACTCGTAGATCGCTGAAGAAAAATCGAGTATTTGGGGAGTGTTTATGCTACGCAACAATAATCGTCGTCTACTTGAGAGTACTTTCCTCGCGTTATCACCACGGTTCCGGTATTTCGCGAACGGCACGCGCGTTATCAGTGGAGGGGGAGGAGGACAAGAACAACAACAGAGAAGGGAGGGAGGTTAACCAGGCACATGCGCGGTTTGCTACCCTACGCGTTATCGGTGTGACATGGCATTCTCGATAGGAAAGTGGCCAGCGCTGGGTCTAGAAGAAAGGAAACGTCAGCAAGTCGGATGACGATTATTGTTGTGTGTATAGCAGAAACACTCCCCAAATACTCCATTTTTCTTTAAGAGTGAAGCTTTACGACAATGTTGCGGAGAGCGCTAGAGAAAGTTTATCTTCTGATGATGCTTTCATTAATCGCATTGGACGTTCTCCACTTGATTGCGTTGCCTTGGCAACAAGTACACTGTGCTCCAAGGAAGCAATATACTTGACATTGCAAGTTTCTGGTGATATTATTGAACAAACGTGGCCCGAATGCGGCGAGAAACTGAAATCTGTGACGTCACACAAAGACTAAGGTGCTTGTGTTTGGGCGGGTCACGAGTGACATTTTGATCTTCTAATGTGATCATCTCATATGAACGGTAGTCTCATTTTGAATCGATAATTGCGAAATCGAAAATGAAAGAAAGGTAACAGTTTTCTTAGGTTAATCCCTAGCCAGTGAACTGTTTCGGTTTGTAGTGTCACATTAAATGTGGCGTCGAATGGAAGAGCCCTTCTGCCGGGTCTTCCTTTTATGCCTAAGTCAGGCGCCGACTCGTAGCTTCTGCTGTACTGCAAGGAATTTGCTGACCTTGGCGGACAATCGGCACACACAGACACACACGCGCACACATTATGTACCGTGCCCATAAAGATTTCCCGTCTTTCGCGGGAGATTGCTCGTGTTTGCTTTTGGTATGACGCGATACGTGTTGTCTTCGCGATGACTTGCGAGACTGGGAAGCACTGGCGAAAACAGAATCTATAGGGCCGCAATCCGTGCGACTTTTTTCTTCTTTATCGGCTTACTTTGCTTTCACTGTGATTTCGTAACACACATTAGCTGAACGCGCGCGCTTGCGTTGTGTGCGTGTGCGTGTGTGTGTGTGTGTGTGTGTGTGTGTGTGTGTGTGTGTGTGTGTGTGTGTTTTCTGGCTGACCAGGTGTACTCAAGTGGCAAGACAGGTAGGTGTTTTGGTGTTCTTTTTGATTAGTCACTAATACGAGATGAGCAGTTTTCGTTATTTTCATCGTCATCATCATAATCAGCCTGTTCTAAAGTCAATCGCATGTGACCAATTCGAACACCGTGACCAAGGCCTCTTCCGATGATGTGCAATTTACCTTCAGTTTCCCTGTAAGCCTTAAATCTTGCAGCTCATAGCCCATTGTTTCTGTTTCGTTCTGCGTGTTCGAAAATTCTGTTGAAATATATATTCACGCTCCTTTCTTTCCTGCTCTTTTTTACCAGTGGTTGTGACTGTGGACAACCAGCCAATCCGTCTGCAGCTCTGTGACACAGCGGGACAG